GAAAGGTAATGGTTTTCAGGCTTCATGAATACATTGGAAGTCAACTGTTATTTTCCAGTGGTTGAAGCTGCCCGAGGTCTTCTGTCAGCTGGTAGTGGCACTGTGCAGTGTTGGAACTGTAGCTCCAGCACTCTGGGTGCTTCTACCAGCAAATATCACTGATCTGCCCCTCTACCTCCTCCTGTCTTCATTAAGTAGATTATGAGTACCTTCAGTGCTTTTCCTCTTAATTACAAGGTCTGTGTTCCTTTATCACAGACTTCAGTCCTACTCTTTATTCTGGCTGTAGGGGGGAACCAGCAGCCTCCAATCAGAGACCTTTTGTACCCCAGGAAATCTGACTATAATGGAAATGCTTAAAGAAAATGCACATAACCTCAGGATTGAGTAATGTGCGGGAAAAGCCTGAATACACAAGACTCAAGTAGTTTTGATAGTTTTAGCAGTGTTATTTTTCCTTTCTTTGGGCCAAGATTTTTATCTGGCTGTGAGGGCAGGTCATTTGTGAGCTGCTTCTACTGGTGTTACTGGGTCTACTGCTGTCACCAGGGCAAGTGGTAACTGCTTTCACCCAGAGTTTTTTGTACTCAATGCTGGGTACTGCCAGATATCACTTCCTGTTGCTGATTATATGAGGGCTAAACTTTCTTGAAAAAAAAATAAAATTCTGGCTTTGTCAGACAACAGAGATCTGGAAAAAAGTACCTCTTCAGTTTTGTCAACAAATTTCCTTTTACTTTTTTATTTTTTTATTAAGGTTTAGCATAGTACGGTGAAGTATAATGTAGTCAGTTAAATTAAAATACATACCAAATATGATAACCTGTCCTGAAGCATAAGGATTTTTCCTTGTAACATACAGGCATGTCTTCATAGATGTTAAAATATTTAGGGCATATCATTCTCATTAGCAACATGCAGGTTTTCTGCTTGTATCTGTTTCTTCAGCTGGAAAGTTTCAAAGTCTGTATGTTGCCAAGTACATTGTGTTGATCTTCCATTGTAAATCAAATAGTAATGGACTCTGCAAGAAAAATCCCAAGTGAGACTTCCTGCTCACTGGAATAAAAGTCTTAAATTCACTTAATATTTAGAATTACATTTCTGTAGGCCTAATATTTAGAATTATGCTTCTGTATGCCTAGTATTTTTCCTCTTTTTTAAAAATATAGTTATTTTAAAAACTAAAGTAAGTATTGCATATTGTACTAAGGATATTACAAAATATTCTAGAATGGGGGAAAAGTTAAAGGCTTATTTTGAAATTAGCTTGGATTTGGAACACAATGATAATTTTTCTTTTGTTTCTGCCTTATTTGTGCTGTGACAAGGTAGTCTCTGAACTTTCCATGTGGTGCTGTGAATTTCATGTAGAAGAGTCTGGGTCTGGTTTAGCCACACATCTTGCTGTCCTTGAGTTGTGTAAATATTGGTGGGACCCTGTCAAGCATGCCCATGGCATTTCTTGGATATGTTTGCCTCTACTGATCTTAAGGCACTCTGATAAATGAGATTCCACAATCTATAGACAACTTGTTCTGGTGTATCACTACCCTGGAGAGAGCTCTTTCTATTATCTAACCAGTGCTTTACTAGCTGTAGATTTAACTCTGCCTTCTTCCTTCTGTACTTGATGAGACAGATTTATCAATATACAATAATTACATGAAAATAGTTGTCATACTCATCACTAACTACTTCTTTTATAGTTTCAGCAGTTTTCCAACAGTTGCACCCTACAGGCTTTTTATTTCCCTCATGGTCTTCTGGACTGCCTTGTTTTGTCTATACTTTTCTTTAATAGTGGTGCTCCCAACACTGATTTTGCTAGCATGAGGTTGTTAGTGTAACATCTTACCTTTGGTTCTGAAAGAGTCTTTAAGATTTTACAATGCTTTCTACAGCATTACTTTGTATGTGCCTATTTACTTATGACCTGTGGAATTTTTATACTCTTGTACACATACTCGTTGTACTCTTTCCTAGACAGTTGTTGTTTTTATGCATGTGATTTCTCCTGCCAAGTACTTCATATTTGTTTTAATTTAATTTCATTGTGTTGGCTTTGGGCAATTCAATCACTTTCCATCATTTAAATAATTTTGAAGAGGGAGGTAAAACCTCTTTGGTGACTTGACTTAAAATGCCTTTTAGTTTGATAATGATTTGCTAGCTATGAGAGGTTTTCTCCTGCAGTGTTTTTGAGCAACCCTGTGCACACTTAATTTGCATAAGTGACTGCAACAAAGGTGTGTGAAAATTAGGAAAAATAACACCTATTCCTTCCATCATCTAATCATCTGTCAAAGAAGAAAATTCTGGTAACTTTAATTTACTTCTTTATTGTGTTGGTTGTTTCTTATCTTGTTATCTTGATGGTTATAAGCTGCCTGTGTCAAATAATATATTGCAGTATGGTTGCATACATGAGGTGGTCTGATCGACCGTCTAATATTTGCTGAAATTCTCCTTTACAGAAGTTGGTATCGGTTCCTGCTTCTCCATCTGCCCAAGGTCTTCCACATCTTACTTTTTTCAAGGAACATTTTAAAGTTTTGGATAACATCTGAAAATTAGAGAGGTTGATTAAGCAAGGCCTTCAAGTATTTTTAGTTTCCAGATTTTGCTAAATGGAATATTGGTTATAGACAAAATGACGAGATAGGTTGAAAACTGGCTGAACTGAACTGGCAGGTGTAGAGGAGGGCTGTGGTCAACTGGACAAAGTCCAATGGGAGGCTGGTCACTGGTGCAGACCCCAGCAGGTCATACTTGGGTTCAACAACATTTTTATTAATGACCTGGAGGAGTGGACCCTCAGCTTCTTTACCCTCAGCAGCTTTGCAGGTGGTACTGGGAGGAGCTATTGCTGCGCTCGGTGGCTGTGCTGCCAACCAGAGGGAGCTCCGCAGGCTGGGGAAATGGGCCAGCGGGAACCTCCTGAGGTTCAACAAAGGGATGAGTTGTGACTCTGCTGAGGAATAGCCCCAGGCACTAGTATATCCTGGGAGCATTGCAAGCAGCTTTTCAAAAAAGAATTGGGGGTCCTGGTGGGCACCAAGCTGAACATGAGCCAGCAAAGGGCCCTCCAAGCACAGGAGGCCATTACCAGCAGGTTGAACAAAGTGATCTTTCCCTTCTACTCAGTGCTGCTGAGACATGTCTGTAGTGTTGTGTCCAGTGCTGGGTTTCCCAAGCTGAGAAAGCTGCTTTAGCCTGGAGCTGAAAGAGCTCTGAGGGCATCTTAGTGATACATATAAATACTTGTTTGATTATTACCATACTTACTGGGGAAAAAAAAAAAAGGTAAAAAAAGGAATAAAAGAAAAAAAGGGCAAGAAAAAGACTGTTGAGTGAAGTGAGTGTTTTTAGTATGCAAAGGCATATCTGTTTTTTTGTTTTGTTTTGGGGTTTGTTTTGGTTTTGTCATTCCCCCTCCCCCCATCATCCAGAAAACTGGTTCTTTGCTGTTTCTCACTTATTTCCCAATATTGTTGCTCAGGCTGTCAAACTGCCTTCTCCCTGTGTCTCCAGAATAACCTCCAGAGAATTGATGGTTGTTTGAGTGATCAAATACATTTTGAACTTCAGAGGAATAAGGCAGATATTTTTGAGAACAATTGGTGTTTAAAAACAAGTTTGCTCATCTGCTTTTGCTGCTAATTTGAAATGAAATATTCCATTACCCTCATGAACTATACCCTTGCCCTAATTATTTTGTATAAAATTATTTCAAATGTTCACATTTTTAATGCAGATTAATAAAGTACGATAGTACTGATGAAGGAAAAGGAAAAGATGTGTAGGTTACACAGCTGATGTTATAATGTCTCATGTGACCTAGTTCTAAGTCACATGCCAGAGGGCTTAGAGAAGGGAAATGGTGTCATTTGTAACTTTTTCTTTTTTTCTCCGATAGTCATTGTAAAGATTTCCTATGCAAATTTTTGTCACACTTTTTGATCTGTTTTAACATGTAGCAGCCTCTTGTTCTACGTTTATAACCTTTTAATTTACACCTCTGCCACCTCTTCCATTTCTTCTCACGTAAGATGTCTGTATGTTCTCATTATCAAAACTTTTTCAACCCTTGAAAATAGGTGCAAATATTTTCTGAAAGACTTGCAATATTTCTGTAAGGATTTTGCCTCCTAAATGATGGTATGAATTTGGTCAGTATATCTAGAACAAAATAATATTTTCTTACTTGTGAGCTGTACCTGGCAAAGATGGAATGGATTAAGGCAGGTTTTCTTCAACGTTTGTGAGTCCCTGTGCATGTGATAAGGAGAGGGTAACGGCTCTAAGCCCCAGCAGAGAGCAAGGTAGAAATAAAGAGGATGTTCCCCTCAGCTGCTGGAGAGCTCCTAAGTTTGCTTAACTTTTTTGCAATGCTCAAAAAAGTTGTCATAACTCTTCTATGAGCACATTGATGATACAGAGCAAGATAGGATTGTTCCAAGTGAGTTTAGCACTAAGGTAAACTACTAGAAAGGGCGCTGTTAATTTGGAATAGAATTATGTACTCTCAAACTTGCTGGAAAGTGATTTATCACAAGCAAGTGTCTATACAGATGTTTTAAACATGGTGCATTTTAAACTGGAACTAGCAATATGATATTTGAATAAATCACAAAAGCAAAGACTGGTAAAATACGATGTTTAAACTTCAGTTCTAATATTTTATTGTTTAAATTCTGTTGTTTTATAATTATTACTTGGTCTTTTATTGCAGATGCTTTTAAGTTGTGCCATTTGCTGTGTCTGTCGTCCCACTATCTTGGTTTGGGTTTCAATTTTTTAAGCTTCTATAGGAGTCATTCATAGTCCACTAGGAACTAGGAACTCCTCTTTGGTGGTCTCAGACAAGCTTTCATTCTGACCCCTGAAGCATAGAAATAAACTGTAGCTAGCTTTTATATAAAAGTTATAAAATCTTCAGGATCCAGGATATGCAGTAGTAGTGTGTTATGTAATAACACTCTTTCTCCCTCTTGTAGGTCCTTTTGTTCTGCATCACAGCTGCTCTGTTCATGTTCTTCTTCAGGTATGTCACTGATGTTTCTATTTATGTTGTAAAAATTGTTTTGAACAGTGTTTCTTAGTTCCTTTTCTTAGAGCTTACTGTTTTTTTGTATTCCTCTGTATATTCTTCACTCAAGTTGAATTGACTGGAATGCTTCAGTGGTATCACCCATTGCTGTGAACATAATGGGGCTAAAAAGGGAAATGTTGAGTCTGCTGGAGAATATACTGATTACTTGAGTTTCATCTCCTACGTAAGGCCCTGGAGATCTAACATAGTGTGAAAACAACTGAAATCTGCTTTTCAGGGCTCTTTTTAAGAGCTCATGGCAAGAAGATCACATTTTCTCTTCTGGTAAAAAAAAGAGGAGAACAGGAAAATTTTGTGGTCTTGAGTAATACCGAATATTTGACTTGTGTGCAGATGTAACTCCCTTCTTTCAATTTTAGAATAAACTTGTTTCACATGTTTTCACAAGTTATGAATTGTATTCATATTTTAAAAACTTAAAGTAGTGGGTGGTGGATGAGACTCATTTTAATGACTTGTTTCTCTCTCAGTTTGCAATATATATGTATGTAATTTATCTTATTTCCCTTTAAATACCAGACCTCTCAAACTTTCTTCATGATGTCTCAGATTGGAAAGTTGCTTTTTAAAGTAACCCTTGACTACAACCCTTTGACTTAGAATTTTTGCTGCATGCAACCATCTCTGGTTCTTCAAGCTGTATGATCCCCTGGTAATTGCAAAACTCTGGAAGCGTCAGCTTGTTTTTTATAATTCCATTACTTACGGATATTGGCCAAGAACAGTCTGTGGATAGAAGAGGGCTGTTAATTTAGGGGATTCGAAGAAGCATTCCTCCTTTCATATATAACCTATTAAGAACTTTGCATTGGCAGTCTTCTTCCTTTATTTTCTTCTACATCCCTGAGATAAGCCATAACAGCCTCAGAGAATTTGACGTGTAAGGTTGAGGTTAGACACCTGTCCGCATGAATGCTGGTCACACAAACTCAGAGCACTAAAATTCTGGTCAAAACTATAAATGTTGTATGATCTTGGAAGAAGCTAATTGTCTCCTGTCTATGTCTTTGGTAATGAAGCAGTGTTTTATAGAGAACCTACAAGTTAAATCACAGAATCCTAGAATAGTTTGGTCTAAAAGGGAGCTTCAGGGTTATCTAGTTCCAACCCTGTGCCATGAGCAGGGCCACGTTCCACTGGACTAGTGCTCAGAGTCCCATCCAGCCTGGTCTTGAACACTTCCAGAGATGAGACATCCACAGCTTGTCAGGGGCTCACCACCACATGGTATGTCACAGTAAAGAATTTCTTCTTAATATCAATTCTAAGCCAACCCTCTTTCAGTTTGAGGACAGTACCTTGTCCTATCACTGCATGCCCTTGTAAAAAGTCTCTCTCCCAGCTTTCCTGTAGCCTTTTTGGGGGTGAGAACTGACACAGAACCCAGACATATTTGGTGAAATTTTCCCTGACCTGACACAGAAACACTGGTAGTTGAATGGGCTCCAAACCACTTTGTCTTCTAAAATAGTGACTCCATGCCAAGGCTGATGGAATATCCTGTTGAGCAATCATCAGCAACATTTAATTCCTTTCGTCTTTGTGCTTTAACAGCAGAATTAAAATAGAGGCTCAAGTTTAGTTTAATTATTGGGAAAAAAAAATCTACTTGTAAATACCAATGAATGTGCTAAGACAAATTTGTCAAAAATAATTAGCAGACTAGTTTTTGAGGTGGGTTTTTTTTTCCCTTTCTCGGTGTAATCAGTATTATGAGTAGGACTTCTTCACAGTGTGGTACTCTCCTAATGAAACCAGGTATAGAGGACTGGGTATGAAGAGAGCCTGGTCAATTGCTCAGGGAGAAGAGACAGCAGAGATGTCACTTAATCAGGCCTCAGAGTTGTCCATTTGTCTGGACTAGCTGCGACTGTGAGCTGGTTGCTGTCTGAATCAATATGTGAATTAACCACTGATACCCTTCAGTAAGATTTTGGATGGCCCTTGGAAAAATCTCATGTGGAATCCCAGGAAAGGCAATCTTCGTTGCTCTGTTGTCATGTAAAGCAGAAAGTAATTGGGAGAGTCATTAAATTACATTTCCTATTTAATGACTCAAAATCACTTCAGCCTTTTTCTTAATCATAAGTGGATCAAACTGACAAAATCACGTTCATACTTTTGGAATAAACACCTTATTCAAAGTCAGATCCGTCTGGCTTGTAGAATATATTCCTGTTGACTATAAAACACTGTTTACTCTTAACAAGCATTCACTGACCTGAAAATCTGAAAATTCTCTTTTGAGTTTACTTAACTTGTTCCCAGAGTGGGCTTTTTGTCCTATCCACCCGACTAAAATATCAACAAAGGTACTGAGAGCAGTAGCAGTCATGTTCACAAAGATCATATAAAATGTCTTTCATTATTAAAGATAAAATCCTAATATCTATATGGTGTAATTTGAAGCTTAAAACCTTTCTAAAAAGAGTAATGTAAGTCTACCTCTATGCCATGTCTGACTGATGCTTGGGAGTCAAATGTTGGACGAAATAAAAGCAAAGTAGTCTTTTATTTTCTGTGTTCATATGAACTGCCTTATCTGAGGTTATCGGGTTCTCTGATCTTAAAAGTTACTACTGTCCCTAATACGTAGCCCTGGTTGGCACTGTATTCTTAACAGCCCCAGGTTTAGCTACATTTGGCTGCTATTTCTTCTCCGAGTAGTTTTGAGCTGAATCATTTTCCTTTCCCAGCTTGTTCTGTGATGCATAGTAGCTGCATCAGACTGAGCCAGTGATGCTGATTGGGAAAGCATGGAGAGCAGAGATGCTCTACAGCATTCACATGGACTTTGGTAATTTTTAAGTAATTGCATACCAGCATGACTTAAGGTGATCTTAGCTGAATCTAGGAGATTTAAAGTTATTCGAGTTGGAAAGTTCAAAACTGTTTCCTTCATGGAAGAATTGAGATATGTTCTATATATCACACAGGTTCCAGGGTAGCTTTCAGATTGCCAGGTTAATAGCCGCCTGTAAAGTTGGGTTTGATTAGTGTTGCATCTGGAAGGCCAGTGCTCTGGTTGTTAGTTATCCATTAAAAGAGAAAAAAAACCAATATGGCACTTAATTGCAATATGATCATACCTTTCCCTTGAGGTGAGTATCTTCCTACCCACTCCTACTGTTGCAGGAAATATTGCTGTAACAGTTGCATGAGTCTTGGTCGATGGAAGTGTAGGCATTGTTCTTGATTTATTTGAACATTTACATTTTTTAGTATATTGATTGTCTTCAGTATCTCACTACAATATCTTATATTGTTTTCTAAACAAAGTCTGTAATAATGGTCTGTTGATGAGGCAGGTGTTTCATACTAGTTGAAAACTTCATCCAGCAGCCTTTCATCCCTCCTTTTGTCACTGGAGTTCTCCCCAAATTCTCTTGGACTGTTCAAACATTATTGCATCTGCTACAGGACAAGAAAAAGAAGGTGCTAAATCTCAGGCGTGAAGAAGCGAGGTTACAGAGCTGAAATGGTAAAAGGGAAAACGAGGAATAATTACTCCAGAATAGATAAAGTGAGAAGAGAGTCAGAGGGAAAGATAAATTCAGAAGATCAACATACAGAGGAAGACTGTAGGAAGAAGGAAGGAGAGAGTGACCGAAGAGGGAAGAAAAAAGGTCATGTCAGGAGACAGGAAAAAAATAGAAGAATATACTAGTGAAAAAGCAACTGAAATGCAGATGATAGGTTTAAAAGCAACAGAGTTATATTTACAGACAGAGGAAGCATATTTTAGTGCAGTACTTTTTTATTTCTTCTCTTTCATGCTTGTCTTGTGGTACTTTTCTTCAAACTTGGACCTCTGTTTTTTCTCAAAATGCTTCTGCTCCACTCCACTGGAAGTGATGAAATTAAGATGCATTACTCAATTGTGGATAGCTGTAGTATACACAGTACAGCAGAATCTGACACACGTATATTTAATTCACGCATACAGGCAACCACAGTTGAAACAGGATTGTTCCCCTTCCACACATACTTGCCTAAGAATCTTAGATGCAGAAGTGTGCCTGGGGAGAGTAATGTTCTTATATCTGTAGGGTATTATCTGTAGGAATTGATTTTTAGGTGATATTGAACTCCAGTGGGTCTGAGTGTTCACCACTTACTCAAAAAACCCAGTGCTTAGTGGTGTCATCTGATGTCATTGTGTTATCTGATGTATTGTGAGTAGGACTTCTTCCCTTCACACAGAAAGTGTGCTACTTTCCTAAAGAAACCAGGTATAGAGGGGTCTGGGTGAAAATACCTCTGGATGTGCACAATCTGGCTAACTCAAGTTGCCTTCAGGGAGAAGAGACAGCAGAGAGGTCACTTGATCAATCCTCAGAGTCCATTCTTAAAGTGTCTTGTAATAAAAGTACACTTTTCTTTAATGCTTCTAATTGTTTTTTAAATTGCAGTTTGCATGGAATTGAGTTTGTGGATAGAAAGGTTTTGATTTTACCATGGTTTCATGCCGTCTTATTTTAGTTTGAATAATTCATGGTACTGTCCAGAATACTCTTCTAGAGTAATTGGATAAGATGAAATGAAGAAGCAGAGGGATCCTACAATGTGTAAAATAAGTATTTGTAAAACACTGTGAAATTGGTTTTTTAGTAGCAGTTTCATTTTGAATGTTGCACAAGGGATTTTTATGGAAGGGTGATGCAATGGCTGTGCATTTTTGTGCTTGAAGAAATCCCCTTAATATAAAACTTGCAATCTCTGTACAATAAATGAACACCTACATAGAAATCCTATCCATATAAACTTAGAAAATCCAGCAATTTGGGTGAGTATGTGTTGGCAGACTACAGTACTGGTTGCTATGGTAGTTAATCCTTAGACCATACGCTACCAGCTTATAATATGCACGTTAATTCATCTGCTCTGAACTTCAGAAAGCAAAGCTCCACCTATGAGCTGAAAGCAGTTATTAAGGGAAGCTGGATGTTTCTGATAACTGATTGATCATGAGTTGTGGATGAAGGCTGC